TTTTTTTTTTTTTTTAGTTTATTTATTTTGAGAGAGATGGAGACAGCGAGATCAGGGGAGGGGCAGATAGAGAAGGAGAAAGAGAGAGAGAGAGAGAGAGAGAATCCCAAGCAGGCTCTGCACTGCCAGCTCAGAGCCACATGCAGGGCTCGAACTCATGAAACTGTGAGATCATGACCTGAGCTGAAATCAAGAGTTGGATGCTTAACTGACTGAGCCACCCAGGTGGCCCTGAAGATGGCTGTCTTTTAAAACTGTGCGCATAGGTAACTTTGAGAAAAATAGAAAAGAAGTTGAAAATAACTAGGTGGCTCAGGTCATGATCTCATGGTTTGTGAGTTCAATCCCTGCATCGGGCTCACTGATGTCAGCTCGGAGCCGACTTTGGATCCTCTAACCCCTTCTCTCTCTGCTCCTCCCCTGCTTGCACTTTCTCTTCCTCAAAAATAAACAAACATTTTTTTTTAAATAAAGTTTTAATAAAGGGAAATGATGAGAAAATGTAACAATCTACTCCAACAAAAAGATACCAAGGGATGTAGAATTTAAGAAAAAATGCACTTATAAGAACAAAGTTAATTTTTACTAAAAATTGTGATCTACAGTGAGACTTAATTATAATTACGCTTTTTGTAATCAATAAGATGTTATCAAATTACAAAAAGCAAAATGCATTCATATTTTAAGTGGATATTAACACAGGTAGTATTGCAATTTGAGATTGTGCAGAAGGCTGGTTTTATGAGTGTGTGATTTGTGCACACCGGACTCTGTGTTTAGAAGGGTCCGTGCTTGGCTTAATGGCTACTGTCACCCTCTTGAAGTTCTTAATAATTATTTAACAAGAGGCCCCACATTTTAATTTTGTACTGGGCCCTGCAAATTACGTAGCCAGTCTTTTGCAGCCATAAACTAGTAATTATATAGAGATTTTACACTTTATCATTTTTAAGGTTGAATAGCTACATTGAACTTTCTTGAATATGAACAAAGAATATGAAGTTATTTCTAGTGACCAAGAAACATTTACAAAAGTTGATCATACTCAATGCTAAAAGAAGACCTTGATTCAGTTCCCAAAAGCAGAAATTGTCAAGGCCTCATTCTCTGATTATAAACAATAAGATTACACAGTTTTCATTAAAAAAAAAAAAAAAAATCCAGCCACTTCTTTTTAGAAAATGATGACAAAAAGCTAGTTACCAAAGTTTTTGTTATGTGGCCCAATGGCACTTTCTTAGCTCCTAAATTAATTAAAGAAACTAAACACTCCAGAACATACTTGCTTATAAATATACATACACACAAAACTTAAGGAAAGTGGAATAGAACCAAAAAACAAAAAACAAAAAACATTAAAAGTTAGAGAAAAGTAGGGGCGCCTGGGTGGCTCAGTTGGTTAAGCGTCCGACTTCAGCTCAGGTCATGATCTCATGGCTCATGAGTTTGAGCCCCGTGTTGGGATCTGTGCTGACAGCTCAGAGCCTGGAGCCTGCTTTGGATTCTGTGTCTCCCTCTCTCTTTGCCCCTCCCCAGCTCACACTCTGTCTCTCTCTCTCCTTCAAAAATAAATAAACATTAAAAAATAGAGAACAGTAGCAGAATTAAATAATTGGTGCTTTGCAGAAACAAAATATAAGATACATGTTGTTGGAAAATATAATCCAGAAGAAAATACATATACTCACAGATGCATAGATTTAAATAATTTTAAACAGTTATATGTAAATACATGAGAAACTTTCAATTTAATAATATTAATAGTAATTAAATTAATATTTCCTGTGAAAAAGGGCTAACCTTAGATAAATTAAACGTTGGGAAAGAAAATGAGAATGTTATCAAAAAGCTTCTACCTCAGAAGGCTTTAGGGCTATATTATTTTATTGATTCTTTTAAAGTTCTAAGAAACATATAATTCTCACTCGGTGCTGTAGGATGTAGAAAAAGATGAAACTCTACCATTACAGTAATTTCATTTCAAAATGTCTTTACGAAAAGAACAACCCAAAATGCTCACATGCCCAATAACATTATTTATAATAATTTAAAATGGTGGGAGGGGATGTCAAAAATAGGGCAAAGGTTAAATAAATTATGATACATCAAAATAGTGTGATTTTATGCAGCCATATTGCTAATGTCTATGAAAAAGTGTTTAAGGACATGTTTAAGGAGAAATGATTACACCATATTGAGTGACAAAGAAAAAAACTAGAAAATGCCAGTTATCACCTTTTTAACACAATACTCACAGACTATCTCTGGGTAAAATCATGGGTAATTTCTATTCTCCTTTTTTTTTTTTTTTTTTTCCACGTTTATTTATTTTTGGGACAGAGAGAGACAGAGCATGAATGGGGGAGGGGCAGAGAGAGAGGGAGACACAGAACTAAAGCAGGCTCCAGGCTCTGAGCCATCAGCCCAGAGCCCGACGCAGGGCTCGAACCCACGGACCGCGAGATCGTGACCTGGCTGAAGTCGGACGCTCAACCAACTGCGCCACCCAGGCGCCCCTCTATTCTCCTTTCTATACATTGCTGCATTTTTCATGTTTTCTGTATCAAACATGAATAATTAAAAGAAAAAAATAGAACTTTAGTGAAATATCTCCAACACTCCAGCTGAACACACAGAAACAGATGACTTCAACATACCATCTTGGGCAAAAATTGTGTAATTCATGTTATTATTTACCAATTAAAACCATAAACAGAGGCGCCTGGGTGGCTCAGTTGGTTAGGCGTCGACTTTGGCTCAGGTCATGATCTCGGATCATGAGTTCGAGGCCCGCATCAGGCTCTCTGCTGTCAGCACAGAGCCTGCTTTCAGTTCCTGTGTTCCTCTCTGTCTGTCCCTCCCCCGCTCATGTGCACTTTCTTTCTCTCTCAAAAATAAATTAAATTAAAAAAATCGTAAAGAAACAAACAAACAAAAAAAAAAAAAAAA